TACTTGCCCCCTCTTCTTAGTTTACTAGGTTTCGTGTTAGTCTTCCTCGCCTGCGCTTCTAGATTGATCCTGTCCTTACTTCCTCTAAGACTTAGTCCCTTCGCTTTTCTTTCTCCCTTATAGAGGCGTAGATCCTAGGTGTATTCTTGTCTACTAATCCTAGGACAATATATCTTAAGTCTATATAATCTAGCGTTATTACTACTAGGTCTTCCTTACTAGTTTGTAGTATTTAATAGTTTAAGAACTACTTATATTCTTTTTAAGTATCTCCTAGTTCTAATCCTTAATTCTAGGAAGATATTGCGTTAGCTCCCGCTCTTTTTACTACTAGATAGTCTAGTCCCTAAGTCTGCCTCTACTACTAGCCTCTTAAATCTATTCTGTTAAATAGTTCTAGCTTAACCTGTGACGCTAGCTAGCTAAGGACATCCTTAGTAACTTTATAGTATTTACGCAACTTTTTCTTTATCTAATAAAGAGTAAGGTTCTATAGTGCTAGCTTAGTAACCTGCCCTAGTCTTTTATATAATAGTCTGTAGTAAAATATCCTAGTCCTTATTTCTAGATTCTAGGAAGTGCTTACCTACCCTAGCGCTATAAGTTCTAGCTAGGGGGGGCAGTCCCTTACTAGGTAGGATTCTAATCTACATATATTACAGGTAGGTAGTTTCTTGTTATACCCCCCGTAACTCTATAGCCCTAGCTAAGTAGTTAACGTTTATATAGGGCCCTAGGTTCTTAGCTAGTTTATTAGTAACCCCCTAATTACTATAGTATTCTAACGCATTCCTTGCTCTATCCTAGCGTTAGTTGTATGTGAAATAAAGTAGAGCTAGTTTACTAGGCTTTTTAGCAGCAGGCCTATTACGTGGTATTCCTATAGCCTGTTAGCCTTAGCTAAACTTATCTTTATTTTTCCTAGTGCCCTAATTAACTAGTCTATTTCTAGGTTAACGTTTAGTAGTAGTTAGGTGGTGGCTTGCTCCTTTCTAACGCCTTTTGCTGCCTCTATAATATCCTCCTTTGTAGGCATGGTTTTTGCTAACTCTAATATCTAATATGCCTGCTAAGTATCTTCCTCTATTTAGCTAGCTAATATATGTTTTATTCCTTCTCTTTGCTAATAGATTCTTTTAACGTAGGTATAGATCTTCTCTAGCTTATAGCTTGCTACCTTATCACTATTAGGCCCTCCTAGCATACTAAGCAAGACTAGCTCTTTATCTACCTAGGGTAACCCTCTAAAGAAGAAGAATCTAACCTTGCTTTTATATAGCTATTTAGATACTAGGCAGGCATCGCTATACACTATAAAATTAGTATAGTAGTCTAAGAGACCTAGGAAGTTCCTAGAGGCTTCTTGTATATACGTATCTAGGAAGGTTTAGGTACCTATCCTTTAGGCCGTATCCTAGTCCCTCTAGTGCTCCTTTATGGCTTCCTGCAGCTCCTCCTAGTCTTGCTTCTAGTAGGGTCTAAGCTTCTTTACAAATGTTCTGTATATAGTATTACAAAAGTCTAGCAGAATTTTTAGCTAATCTACTTTGCCTAGCCCCCTATTTTCCGCCTAGCGGTTGTAGTTATCTAGGAATTCTGTAACCTCCCTCCCCTAGAACTAAAAGTTAGTTTTCCTAGGCCTTATAGGGACAAGGACTCTTCTTAGGGGTCTAGAGGTTTCTATTTTAGTTAACCCTAGGGTAATATTGCTTTCTCTAGGTATTGTTCCTAGCAAAAAGGATAGGCTTAGTTAAGGTAGTAGGCTTCTGTAAATGTTAAAGGAGGTGTATAAACCTGTAATGTTAATTAAAATTATTAGACAAGTTAGTATCTGCTTGCTTGTGTTACTTCCCCCCTTTCCCGTCTCTTACTTTTATAGACTGCCTCCTCTTCCTTAGTAGCTATGTCCCTAACACCCTTCCTAAATAGTGCTAGCACTTGCATTTGTTTTTAGTGGATTCTTGTTGCGTTAGTAACTTTAGCCTAGCCCTATTTTCCTGCTAACAGCGCACACTGTCCTGTAGCCTTTGCTGTCGCTTTTCTATTAGTAGTAATATTCTAGGTGTTCTAGCACTTCTAGTATTACTAATGCTTCTCGTAGTTCTAATTATTCTAATAGTTCTAGTTGTTCTAGTTCTAGTTATTCTAGTTGTTCTAGTTCTAGTTATTCTAGTTGTTCTAGTTCTAGTTATTCTAGTTGTTCTGGTTCTAGTTATTCTAGTTGTTCTAGTTCTAGTTATTCTAGTCGTTCTGGTTATTCTAGTTCTGGTTATTCTAGTTATTCTATTTCTGATTCTAGTTCTAGTCGTTCTAGTTCTGGTTGTTCTAGTTGTTCTGGTGTTTCTGATATTTTCTGGTTAGCCTCTTAGTGTTGTTACTCTGTCCCTACTAACGCGCGTTAGCCACGTCCTAATATAGGCCCACTATTTTGGCCTTAATAATGTTGATTATTAACACTACCTATTTTTTGATTTTTCTCTGCCCTCCTTATACTTAGAGGAATGTCCTCTTGGTTGCATGCTGCTAGGCCCTCCCCTTTACCAAGATAAGATAAGTTCCCCTTAGGCTTCGCTATTTAAACTGACAGGGAGAGTAACCTATTTAAACAAGGAGAAGTGGGAGGGGCAAGGTTTAATAGTAGTGATCCTATAGTGGAGGATATAGGTTTAATGCAGAAACATAAGTGAAAAGATAATATTGTAGAGTTAAAGTGAAGTCCCTAGGAGTTGTTGTTGTCCTATCCTCTAATCCTTCATGCCTTTATACCATTCAATCCGCCTAACCTTTTAGGCTAAGCCTTGTTTTCCTCCTATACATCCCTTACCACGGCACACTATGTTAGGTTGCACCTGGTTATTCTAAACATCTAGCG